TGCCAGGTCACAAGTCAAATTTTGACTCCATTACTGAGCATTATCCTTGAGCTCTAAATGGAAAGTCAGTACAATTCACCAGCTGTCAGGCTCCAGCTTTCCCCCCACCCAGAACAACAGAATCACGGGTTCAACAGTTAGAGCCGCTGGAGTCACTGCTTGATTAGATTCTTAATGACTGGCTCTGTCCACAGGTCAGTTCGGCCAGTCACTCAACGAATAATCTTTAAGCCATTTGGATCCTAGGTTTCTGCTTGGAATTTCACAGAATTCAGTGAAGAAATCCACTATCAATCAAAAGAGATTTGGGATGACTTAGAGACATTGAAGATAATTAGATTGCTCCCCTTTATGCAAAAGCAAAAGCGGGTGTGGCTGAGTTTAGATAAGAGATTTCCATGGAGTACCTTCCATAGGCTGTAAATGGTTCCCACTTTTAGATTTGACGTTGACCACCAAGGGGTAGGTTGATGAGTGGGAGAATGCCCTATAAGGGGCACCTCAGGATGTGTCCGAATTGTGTATCTGAGGGATGCTAAACACCTCAGCCCCGCCTAAGATGTGTGGATCACCCAGGGGAGGGTGGCAGCGCTCATGTGAAATCCTGTTGCCTGGAAGTGCGCCAGGAGCCCAGTGCCCCAGCTTTTCCTGTCGCCTCAAAGATGTCCTCCTCACGGGGAGAGGAAGAGCTGCTTAGATCTTTTCTTTTAATTACTGGCAATCATTTGAACCTGTGCTACCAGAAGTGGCAAGACTCGGAAGTTATTTCCTGTCAAGTCACAGGGCCACTTGGGAAATTAGAGTCTGGGAGGTCACACAGGGGGCAAAACTTCGCTAATATTTCCTTCTGCCAAGGGTGCAGGGTGAAGGTAAAATTTAACAACCATGACTTCTAAAAGAAAAAAAAAAGCAACAGATGCTGAAGCCTCCCCTACTCCCCTTTTAAATCTCTCGAGGGAGCCGTCTCCTTTGGGGTGAGCTGAAGATGGCTTCTTCCGCTGTGAGTAAGGCGCGCCCTCGCCATCAGGTTTGAAGCCCAGCGCTAATTCCACGTTTACCTACCTATCAATCAATCATTCCTTCATCTATTGATGGGTCCATCAGATCTTTCTTTATAACCTATTCCGTCTGCCTACCTAGTAGAAATTGATCATTTCTGCTGTGGACTCGATCTCAGCCGTTTTCCTGATGGGGAAATGGGAAATACTTTTTCTAACCTAAAGCACTCTAGGGGGATTTTCAAAGACTGGACTAGCGCTCTGCAAGAAGCCTTTCTACGCTTTGGCCTGATGTTTCCAAAAGGCACTTACTGCCTTCCCTCCCCCAGAGCCTGACCCGCCAACTTTGGGCTTCCTTCCCACCGGTCTTCCTCTTCCTTGAGAGGCTCGCTTTTCCGGATTCTTGCCACGTAGTGCAAATATGGGGCCCAGATCTGTTACCGTTCCTCTTGGGCTCCGGGCCTGGGGAGAGAGGAGAGTGGAGGTCGGTACCGGAGCGGGGATGGATGAGGACTGGGGCACAATTTGCCGGATCCCCGGCGAGGTGTCATAAAATGAACGCCGAGACGATCATGGAGAGGAGGGAACCGAACCAAGTGCCTTCGGCCGGGCTCTTGGGGCCGGAGTGACGTGGCTCCATCAGGTGGAAACCGCGCACTTCTCCCTCGTCCCAACTCACGAGAGATAAAGATGTCTAAATAACCACGACCGCCGCCGCCACATCCCTGCCCGGGCCCCAGGGGGAGGGGGAGCGCCTTTTCTGCTGAAGCAGCGGCTGGGGCTTGTTTGTAGGTTCGCAATTCACCATGATAAATGTAAAGACCAATTAAGGTTTGATCCGTGCACACGGGAGGCAGACGGCGGCTGATAGTGGAACCAATTAACGAGCATGTCCCCTAATTTCTGCCGCGGCCGCCGGGCGCACCGCGGATCCCCAGGCGTCTGCGGCGGCTGCCCCCGAACCCCGCGAGGCCCCCGCCCGGCCCTGGAGGGGGGCGTCCTCCTCCAGCAAGAAGGTGCGAGGAGCGGGGCCCCCAGGCGGCTGGGGAGGGGGCGCGCTGGGCGGGGAGGCTCAGAGTCAGCCGCCTACGGAACCCAACTGTTTGCAGCCGGGGCCGGGCGGGTGGGGCGCGCCCGAGTGGTCCGCGCCGGGCGGGGGCGGCGGGGGCGGGAGAAGGCGCCCAGCGGGGAGCCAGGCGGAGCCCCGAGGGCGGAGGACAGGTGGCCGCGGGGCCGCCGCCAGGTAGCAAACAGCTCTGGGGCTGCGCGGCGCGGTCCCAAGGCTTCGCCCGCCCCCGGGCCTGCCATGCTGCTGCCCGCCGCGGGGGCGGCCTAGGGTAGGGGCCGTGGGGCCCGAGGCCGCACCCCCGGGCCAGGAGCGCCTCGATCTCTCCCCTTCGGCTCCCCTTCCCCTTCCGGCTGAGTCCGCTGCCCCAGACGTGACCCCCGCGCAAGGTGTTGGCGGTGCGCGCAGCCGGGGCGCGCGTGATTAATGGCACAGAGGTCGGGGCGGCGTAGGCACGAACCCCTTCTTGGCTAGGCCAGGGTGTGAGGGTATCCGGGAGCAGAGCCAGGTCATGGCAGTGGGGGCCCCCAGGACCGCGGCGGCGGTGGCGGAGGAGGAGGAGGAGGAGGAAGAGAAGTAGGTGACGTGGGTCGGAGAGGCTGGTCCCCTCTGGCCCCGGGGCCCGCGCCGCGGCGGGTCCCCCGCGCCAGCAAAGTTTGGAGCCACGGGCGCCGCGCTGCGCAGCGCACGGGTCCCTCCCCGCGCAGTTCCCTCGGCGGGGTCTGTGCCGCCGCCGCTGCCAGGGCAGGACAAAGGCTCATTAACACGTGATGGGACCGCGCTTCATAAATGGGACTGGAGCGAGAGGGAGCCAGAGACAGAGCGAGAGCGGAGGGAGAGGCAGGGACCGCGCGCGCTGGGCCAGGCGACAGGCGCCCGAGCTGGCGGTGACGGGTGGCCCCACGCCGGGCCAGGCGGGGCGAGCGGGAGGACCCAGTAAAGAGCCCGGGAAAGGGGCGAGGCTCGCGGGCGGAGGGGGCGCCAGTCTCTGTCGCTGTCGCGGGCTGGCGCTGGAGACAGGGGACGCCGGCGCGCGGGGAGCGCGGACCGACTGACTTATTGACCGACCGACGGAGGCACACCCCGCTCACCCCACCCCGCCTCGCCTGCATCCCAGCGCCGGCGCCACCTCCCCCTCGTTACTCCCCTGGCCACCCCTTCCTTCTCCACTTCTTTTCCGCCTCTGCCTCTCCTTGGCTCCCGCGGCGCCAGTGCCTACTCCTGGCCCGGGCGGGGCGCCTCGGCTCCCTGCAGAGCTCTCCGTAGAGTCAGGGGGGACATTTCGTTCTGGCGGAGAAGCAGCCCCTGCGCTGGGCGAGAGGTGCCGAGGGAGCTTCTCCCCGAGGACCGGGGGATGCGAAGGGTAAGACCTGGCAGAGTTGCGTTTGGAAATACTTTTCCGCCTCCCGCCCCCTCGGGTACTGACCGGTGTGGTCCCCAAGTGTCCTTCGTGGAGTTCTTATTCCGTGTGAGCGAATCGTGCGTCGGTGTTTACTTAGCTGTATAGCCCCAGCCTGTTAACTGTGGGCTGTGCTACTTCTGGAGATTTCTACCATTTACTAATTATTGAATGTGTGTGCACCTGGCTCTCTGTATGCACTGATTGTGTGTTTGCGGAAAATGTGTAATTGTGCATGTTTGAAAAACAGATGCTTGAGCTGGTGCTTAATGTCTATAAACCATATCAGTAACGAAGTCTTCCCAGAGAAATACATCGATCTCTGCAGCAAACCTAGAAACTGTCGCAAGTAAAATATAAATGTCATATAAAGAAATGTATGTCAAATAAACTTTTGACATAAAAAAGTATAGCTACAGAAACCACTCTTTTTCGAGGAATAATCAATGTGCATTTAACTAGTATCTGGATTTGAATGTTGATGGAACCATTTAACTCAGAACTAGCCATTGGGTGAATAAAGTTGCTGTGTTTTTAAAAGACATCTCTTGCTAAGGCTCACAGCCATAAATGGATCACGGCCTGAATGCAAATATGTTTGCTGTGATAGACGTGAGAAACTGTCATTTGGTCCTTTGAAAGTTTAAAAGTAACATGCATGTTTCTAATTTTAGTTTTAAATTGAACAGATGAGAAGAAAAAATTAGTAACCTATTAATCATTTTGTCCCCCATCTTTTTTATTTTTCTTCACATAAGTGCTATTCTTGCCTTTGTTGTTTTCTTGGTATATTAAGCATCCTTGGGCATTTAATCCAATAAGAGATTAAAACACATTTACTGGTTTTAAAGGTGTTGAAAGATATCTCTGTGGGTCCTATAAGTTCTCCTTATTTTTATTACCAAGTTAACATTCTTTGAACAATGGGAGAAATGCAATTTCTTAGCAGAAACTCGGTGGACATTGGGTATCAGTGGAGTGACCACTGCCATTAATCTATTTTGCAGAATATTGAGAAGCTCAGAGCAACCAACCTTTAAGGTTCCCCTAGGACTTTATCTGATTTAAAGTGTTGCTTTTCTAATCCCACCTTACTGACAGTTTGCAAGGGAAGATACACTGATTGATTTTTTCTCTGTCCCTTTTTTCCTGGTACTCCTTCCCCTCCCCCACTCTCTAACTCAGTTAAGAGCAAGTTTATCAAAATAAAAGGCCCTCTATAGTTTCTTAAGCGAGACAGATTATTTTTTGATTATATCCATACATGAACAGAATCCATGCATCTCCGGAATGTTAAGTGTTGCATACCACAGACAGTTAATTGTGGGTGCAATAGCGGTTGCCACAGTTGGGCGAGAGACTTGATGATGGACATGGTTTTTAAAAACTAATTCATTTTAGGTTCTCAAGAGAACTTACTGTAAACGGACTCTTTTTGTTCCAAAGATGTCTCCCACTCCAGGCGGGGAGCAGTCTTGGCTGAGGTATGTATCAAGTGTCTGATGGGGAGAGGTCTCATTGTGTTCCTAAGTCTCCGTGGGGGTAAAATAATGCCACAGGGGGAAATGCCGAGTTCTGACCTTTCAAAAATAAAATTACTCTGCTTGCATACTAGTTAGGCAGGCAAATTAGATATCCATGCCCCCTGATTTTAATAGATAGCATCAGTATACATGCATTTAAAAAGAATGTGATGCTTCGTCCTCTAACTAAACCATAAGTGATAGTAATTCATTTGGTGTGTAAAGTTTGACATTCTGGTGGAAATCCGATCTCACGTTGGAGTGGTCCTGGGCTTTGTTTGTTATCCACTGTTTTCTGTCTTTTTCTGTTATCCTTTTCCCAGTGGACTGTGTGCCTCGCTGTCTCGCCTGTAAGGTTGTTCTTCTCTAATAAGCCTAGCTGCAGGAGCAGTGTGTTCTTTTTGGCATTTCAAAATGTTAAAACAGTGAAATTGTTAAATGTTACCAAGATGAAACTCCTGGGAATGAAATTCTCCAGAAGAACCACTATGTTTGTGGCATGTTACAGTCTTTTCCAAAAGAAAACTCCTTGAATCGGTTTACCTATTTTCTCAAGGAGGAAGCAGCCCCATTGATTGTGTTGATAAGTCTTTAGTATGCAGTGTCAGCTTATTAATTACTAAGGCAAAGCCTGAAAAACTCTTTCAAAGCAATCGTATGACATTCTTCTTTGCTTTGACTCAGAATTAACATTAACCACCCGGAAATTTAGACAGGCTCCTTGGTTGTCTTGCATATTAGTATTTGGAGTTAGAATGGAATACTTTGCTTTAGAAGAATAAACTGTTATGAAATGGAATTTATAATCGCAGTTTATAGTTCACCACGCTTACCAAATGTTTCTTCCCAGCAAACAGTTGGCCTAATAAGGAAAGGGATTATTTCCCATAATTAGCTCTCCAGGAATGCTGCAAAAAGAGTAATAAATTGAATTTGGAAGTACCTAACGACACTTGATGAGTAAAACAAGATTTGGTTATAGCGTCTTGAATTTGGTTAGTAAGATGGAGCCTGTCCTCTAGGTTGCTGCCTGTTATTCTTGGGGTAATTATGTTAGCTCAGTTGCATGAAGAACACAGATGAGAGCTTTCATTCCTGCAAAAAAGGATGCCGTGTCTCCACCAGTGTAAGTCTGTCTCTTCTATTTTTGTATTCATCACTTTCTAATTGAACTGACAAATTAGTTAGAATGAAAGCAGCCTTTGGGTTTAAATTATTTATAATTCTGCTTTTGACTCTGAAACAACCTGGACTCAACATTGTTTGAAAAACTGTGCTGGGGCCAGGTTTATATGTTGCATTATCTACATTTTGAGGGACCACAGCTCTGCTGATATTTCTTTTCTGGACTGAAGATTGGCAGACAAGTTAAAGAATAGGAGGAAATCAAAACCAATTGATGTACCTTGTATTGGCGAAATTTTAACTTCTTATTTTCCCGCCGTGGATCTCCAGCTCTTTCTGAGTCCTGTTCTCATAATAATATTAACTTGATAATATAACTGCCTGAATGCTGTTTTTGGGGGTTGGGAGATTCAACACTTGGCCACTGAATTGCTATTTAATGTTCCGATAACTGTTTAATTCACTTATCTGTATATTCTTAGATTAGATTGGATTAACTAGAACATAGATCAACTCAGATTTCTTTCAGATACTTTCTGGACTAAAAGAAACAATAAATATATCATCCAAAATATATGTAATATCAAATTACATGCTGCATAATTTTAGATAACCATGTGTAAACACACATTTATACATATGTATGAACAAACTTTTCATAGATGTATTTCATGACCGAAGTAAAAATTAAGACATCTATATATTTGAACATATAATCCAGATTTTAAGTAAATACTCCAAATTTGGGGAAATGTCCGAATTCAGGGCAGCTATGCAGATGGACACTGAAGACTCAAGGTAGAAGGAGTATCCACCTTGAAGCAGAACAAGGCCGTTCTTCTTCTCCAGTATAGTGGAAATTCCTTCCAGTCCCATGTGTTCTAAGAATCTTGCAAAGGTGCCAGAATGGGCATAACCACATTTGAGTGTAGTTTTATCATACGCACTTATTGATAGGTTTAACACAGTTCTCACCAATCTTGCTAATTGTTTATTATTTTGGGAAAGAAAGTTGAAGGAAAGTTGGAAGAAAATATACAAAGTTATTACTATATCACAAAATGCATATTACCTACTTCTATTTGTTATATATAACGCACATGTTAATGCTATCACAAGTAAGTTAAAAGTATAGGAAATTTGTGAGGGGGGAGAGCGGGGGGGTTGTGTTTAGCGGTTTTCCAATGCCTCTCTTGCCACTGCTCAAGTGTTTGATGTTAGATGAACTTCTGTCTCAAACAGGCCTGCATGGATAATAGGTATGCTGATGACATATCAGTAATAATAGGTCAAAGCCATTACATAAAGTAATCAGTGTGATTACCTCTAGTTCTTAACATAAAATATTTACTAAAAGCTTTCCTGGGTCGTATTTCTTCACTGAACAGGGTGCCTCATGGAAAATAAAGTGCATTGCATTATAGTAGTTATCCTAGGACAGTTTCGATTGCAAATATATTCTTGATCTAGTTTTCATGGAAATTTTCCATATATTTGAAGTATTTTCCATATAGATTATAAATGAATAATTTGGGGATGCCTCTAATTTGAAAGTTTCATTTGGCAAGGTTAATTTCATAACCTAGTGAGCGTGGAATTCTCGAGCTTCATAGTTGTGTTTGGATGGGTTTTTGAGGGAAGAATTGTTTACTCACCAAACCTGAGCAAATGGGCCTGGCAGAGTCGTAGCAGTTGTTTTGGAATACTATGAATTCTGTTTTAGCCCCAGCTGGAGAAATGTTCACACCTGCACTTTAGGAAAGCTTTCAGAGTTTTGCTTTGTATGTTTGGTTTGTTTTCTTATGTTTTTGAATATGTGAGTTGAGACTGGTTAGATAGAAATGGATATTTTTTAGCCAACTCTTTTTTTAATCCATTGTGCTATTGCATTAGGCTCTGTACTTTTGAAGAAGATTCCTAAAGTAGATTTTGCATTTTTTGAATGCAACAAGGAATTTAAGTTCCCTTTTCTCCTAACACGGATGGCAAACCATTTTTCCCTAAGAGTATAAGATTTTGTTATCTAAGGTCTTGTTTTTCCACTCTAATTTAGGTTCTTAATTGTTTAGAGTTGGCATTCATTGAAATTTGACATCTGTGACTGGGTTCCTTACCACCGTTATCAACTCTGAAGAGCATTTAAAAATTTTTTTAACTTCAGGAGATAAAGTGCAGTATAGTTTCCTAAATTTGACAGTGTAATATCTATTTTTTTATTCCTACTAGCAAATTCCATGCTATTGCTTTTTAAAGAAAAGCAGAGGCATTTTTCAAAGATGTGCCAGGCAATCTGTTGTGGTAGTTGAATATACTGGCAAATGCTTTCACAAACTGTGTATGTCGGTAGTATATTTAAATATAATTAAAATAAAATATACTGAGGAAATAATGTTTTTCAAAATTTATGTTGAAATGGGAAGATTCCCCTCTTTCATCATTTCTTCATCTGTTCTTGTAGATCATATATTTAGAGAAGAAAATTGGGATCAATATGAGTTCTGTAAATTCAATTAAGTTATAAGGAGTTTTACATTTAAATGGTGCTAAATTCCAGTTTGCTTTTTTAAAAATGAATTTCTACTTTCACATATGGGCATTTGTACTAGGAAATCTTATAACATTGATTTCTGTTGGTCAAGAGGCTAAAAAAGCTGTTTTTAACATAGCAAGGGAACCAATATCAGAAGTGATATGCCTTTGTCACTCTCGTTTGCTTTTTACTCAACTATATTTAAAAATAAGTCAACCTGACTTCTTCTTTATAAGAGAGACTTAATTTAATGCCACTATGATCTGTGTATTTTGGTTTATTCCAGTGTAGCTTGTTAAATGGACCAGATTCTCAACTCATTTTAATGCATTGCTACCAGAATTTGTAAATGTTTTCTCTAGCTTTTGTATAAGTTGTGGTGAGGAAGCAGTATGCATGTAGAGGAAGAGGAAAGCTAAACAAATTAACACATAACCAAAGTAAGCAAAAGAGTGTCCAAAGAATTCCGTATCTTTGCATAGGGGGGAATTTGACTTTGGAAAATGTACAACTACTTTTGAAAATTATATCTAAGTTCTTACAAATTAAAAAAAAGAGGACATCTTGGAATGATTTTAGTCATCGCCTAAGGAAACTAATTATGAGTAATCGATGATCCTTTTTTATTGATGAAATAATTAGAGAGGGAACAGTCTGCCCAGAGTCATAGATTTAAGTGCTTTGGGATACATTTCCATATATATATATAACTTTCAGGTATTTGTGAAAGATACTTGCCAGCTATAAGCAGTGTAAATTGCATAATTACCAGGATAATTCTGTAGGATAATTTGCAATGGATCTGCAGTATGTGGACCTACTGCAAAATTTCCATTTTAGTGTGTCGTTTTCTGGGTTCATCTCCTGTGATACATTACTTTATGGTTTGGGGAAGAGAACAGAATCAGAAACAGAAACATTTCCATCTTAAAAAAAATAAGCTGGAATGTTGACTACTTTTACTTTTTTCCTATTCTTTTATGCTCAGCAATCCTGGGTCCCCTCCCGATGGTGTTGAAAGAAATGGCTAGCAGGCCTATAAAACTTGGCATGGACTTTGTAAATAGAATTAGGAGAAAATGGTGTGGAGCTCTTAGCTTATGTCTGCACACTGGGTATGTACATATATCTTGAAGCTACTTTTTTTTGCCGGACAAAATATATAACAATAAGTTTCTTGAAAAAATGCCGAGGAGCCCTGAATTCTATGCTGAAAAACCTTGAGAAGTTCCCCACTCCTGCTTATGTTCAAGCTAGACTACATCTTCTATTCCAATCAAATAGGAATACCTTGGTTTTAAATCTTCTGTGGGCAACGACTTTATCACGAGCAGGCCCCCTTGGCAATTCATTTCGTTGATCTAAAAACCTATTCTCATAGAATATTCTTTCTTGCTATCTAACCTTAACTCTTCTTAAAGCTTAATTCTATTTTCCTCCCTCATTTAGTCTTTTTCATAGGTCTCCATAATTTTGAACAGTGTTTCTTTAGCTTTAGAGTGTATCAGAATCTCCTGGAGGCCTTGTTAAAACACAGATGCGCCCCAACCCTAGAGTTTCTGATTCTGTAGGTCTGAGGTGGAACCTGAGAATTTGCATTTCTCGTAAGTTCCCAGGTGATGCTGAAGCTGCTGGTTGGGAGACCACCCTTTGAGAACCAATGATGTATAAAATAACTCTGCATGCACTTACATACCACTATGTGATTTCTCAGAGTCTTCTTTAAGATGCACACTGGAATTTCCAGCCCATTCTCACCTATCTTATTTCCTAATTCTTTATCTTCACGTCACTTTTTCTGAGTATTTTCAGTTCCTCAGCTGTGTTCAAAAATCACATAATTGCATGACACACACCCTTGGAAGGGTTTGACCTTGAATGAGTACAATAGAACTACCTCATGGTTTCAGTGGCATAAACATTCTATACTTGCATCCAATTTGCATGCTTACTTCTTAATCATAACTACATCTCCAAAGCATATTTAGCCTCTTTACTGAAACTTAGCTCTTCCAGTTCTGTTTGTATGTATTTATTTGCATCTTGAAGGCATATTTTTCTATTTATGTCTTACATTATTAGTACACACTGAAAATTTTTTAACATTTCAAGTAAGAGATACATAAGTACCTGGTTTTCAAAATTGTGTTTGAAGGGAACCTTGAAGTTACACAATAATAAAAACTTATTTTAAATTATTCCAGTGAGAAAATGATAGGAAGGAAATTGAATTATTTAGAAAGCTACTGTATCCTTGATTTGTATGAGTATTTGAACAAAAATTCACTTCTCTTGTGGAATATTCCATTTTAGCCCTGTAATAATAGAAAATAATTTTCTATTCTTTTTTATCACAAAGTTATGACCATGTTGGTGATTTCACATTTGAAAATTGGAAAGCCAAATGTATCATAAAATAGAAATGAGTTGAGTTTGTTATTAGAATTGATTTTGGGCTCCTGAGACATTCT